TTTACGTGCTTCTGGCTCAGACTTGATGTCTCCCTCCGTGTCTGTCCCCTGCCCCCCAGAAGCCCTTGATATACGACCTCTGCTTCAGGAGAAAGTCAGAGGGCTAGCTGCATTGACGGTGCTGTTGTGTGCAGAGAGAGAGTCATGGTACTGATGCTGAGCCATGAATAAGATGGGAGCTGGAAGACTGTGTGCCGGCCTGGGAAAGTAGAGATAGTCAAGATTAGTGTCCCGGACCCAGAACAGCACTGGGAGTTTTGGAGGTGAACCAGACCCTGCTGAGTTTCCATGAGGAAGAGACTGATGTCCTGGCCACTAGAAGCCTGAGGCTCGTGGGGTAGACCTAATGTCTGCACGATCACTTGGTTTCCGGATCTTCAGTTTCTTTTAGCTTTGTTTTTAAGGTTTTGAGGGTTTTTTTTTTTTTCCTTTCTGATTTCCTGTTTTAATGTTTGAATTACTTCAGCTTTGGTATATTGTAGAAAATGGAAAAAGAGTAAGAATTTTACCACAAAAAACAGTGCCTTTTTTTTATTTTGGTAGTTCTAGCCAGTGATCTCATCTGTCATAAATAGTTTGTGTGATCGTAGATCAGATTTTAGTTTTAGATATTCACGTTGTTCATTTCAGGAGGTCCTGGTGGTGTGATTCTTCAAGGATATCTTAACTACTGGAACATTACTTCTTTGAATTGTGCGGGTCTTGACATGCTTTAATGCTGGTGACTGGGGGGATGCAGAAGACCTAGTCAAGACGTACTCCAATTACAAAAGATGCTTAGTACTGCATATATAGCCTCGTTTCAGCCACCACCCAAGTGTTTCAGTCCAAAAGGATTAAAAAGAAATTTCATTTTTTGTGTCTCTTGCCAGGCATTAAAGAGGATCATATCCATTAATTCCTGGCAGCACTTCTCTTTTCTGCCTCCTCTTGTAACCCGCATTTCCTGGAGATTTTTCTTTGCCAAAACTTGCCCCCACCCACACTCCCTTTTGTTCCTTTTGTTATGTAGAATGACTGAATCCACAGAGTGGGACCTTCCCTCCCTTCCTACTTCTCAAAGTCCCAATCACCAAGCACCAGGGCCCCTTTAGGTGGGCGGCAGAGGAAGTTAGGCTAGTGATTACAGAGTTCTCCGTGGCAGGCTGGTGAAAGGGGGACCCCATGAACCTTCTGACTTGCAAAATTTTATTGCCTCTCAGCTGTATTTTGGGAAATGAGATTAAATTCAAGAGGTCATCAAAACTGTCATCACAATACTATTTTGCAAGGTGTTTCTTTTGAGGTATTTTCTTCTCTGTCATTTTTGAGTTGTAATTCAGTTTTTTTTTTTTTTTTTTTTTTGTCTTTTTCGTGACCGGTGCTCAGCCAGTGAGCGCACCGGCCATTCCTATGTAGGATCCGAACCTGCGGCGGGAGCAGCGCTGCACTCCCAGTGCTGTACTCTCCCAAGTGCGCCACGGGGCCGGCCCTGTAATTCAATTATTGACCCAGGCAGGAGAAAAAATTTTTTAAATTTTCTTTTTAAAGAGTCTTAATTCCACTTGCTGTAGCAACAATGACTTGAAGATTTTCTCGGCTCCATAACTCAGAGGCAGGACAACCAAGTGGTGAAGTGGGACACTTTTAGCATCACATCGCTCCTGTCTCCGAAATCTAGCTCTACTATATACTGGCTGAGTCCCACTGGGCAATTATTTAATCTTTTTCTCCCTCACAGTTTTCTCGTCTGTTAAATAAGAGTGATTAGAGTAACAACAAATAATAATTTGTTTTATTTGTAGAATATAATAATAATAATTAGCATTTATTGGGTATTAATGGTGTCAGACATTGCGCTAAGAGCCCAAGCCTCACAGCAGCACTGACAGGTGGATACTGCTGTGCCTCCTGTGCTGTGATGCAGTGATGATAAAAGCAAACATGCATTGAGCGCTCAGTGTGTACTGGGCTCTGTTATGTGCTGTCTTCATGCCTTGATTCAGAAACTGGAGCTCAGGGAGATAGAGTCACTTGCCCCAAATCAGAGCTGCTGTGTGCAGGGCCAGTGTGGGAGACATGCCATCAGACTCCAGGGCCGTCTCCTGCCTGTCATGGCGTGGTTCACAGAAACAGATGTGATGATCCCTGTAAAATATTTAGCCCAGGGGCTGGCACATAGCAAGAGCTAAAATTGTAGCTATTTTAGTTATAAGTGAAGCCATACTCTTTCCTACTTAAACATTGTGCTTCCTCTCTTTTAACTTAGAAGCCCCACTCCTGATAAACATTGTCAGTGAACTGCCCCTATAGATCCTATACGTGGCTACATGACTCCATGAGTCTCACAAAGTCCCCTCCCACCGCCTCCAGATGGCTCCCTGGTATCCCCACTGTGGCACCCCTGTGATTACACTCCCTGGCCCTTCTTGGTTTGAGCTACTTGACCAAAAAATGTGGGCCCATTGAGTAGAGGGAGGCCAGGAGTGCAGGCTTGTGTGCTAGGGTTTTTCTTACTAAATTGATCATCTCACTATTTCTTCCTTGGGTTGTAGGTGGTTTAATTTTGAGGATAAAGGCAGTAGAATAGGGAAGAGTATGCGTGTGCACATGTGCATGTGTGCACGTGTGTGTCTGCAGTGAGTCCCCATGGAGGCCTAGGCTGCTGCAGGAGAGGTGGCCCTGGTTCAGGGGTTTCACATCAGATGCCCCAAGGGGCTGCGTGGTAACTTAAACGGAGGCAGCAGGTTAGATGGAATCTGTGACACATGAAGGTGTGTGCCCATGGAGTGCGGCAGCAGCTAGTCCCCACTTCAGGGACTGTAAGCCCTCCACATCCACATATAAATGAGCATCACCCAGTGGAAACACGCAGATGATCTAAAAAGGCCCTTCAGAGAAGAAATGTGAATGGCCAGTACATAAAGGATAATCTCAGTCTCATGAATCACTACAGAAATGTAGCCTACAGTGAGATATCATAACCAGTATTGGGACTTAAGCAGACAGGTGCCCTTGTACATGTGGGGCGAGTGTTAATTGGCAGAATTATTTTGGAAGATACTTTGGCAACACCTGCCAAAACTAAAAACGTGCATACTCTCTGACCTGTAATTTCCTCTTCTTGAAATTGTCCTTAAAAATAGCTATTGTGTGGGCCGGCCCGGTGGCGCACTGCTACAGTGCGCCGCTTGGGAGCGCGGTGGCGCTCCAGCCGAGGGTTCGGATCCCACATACAGACCGGTTCCCGCTCACTGGCTGAGCGAGGTGTGGGAGCAGCACCGAGGGTTGCGATCCCGTTGCCGGTCCCGGTCCGGTACGGGCGCGACACTGAGGGTTGCGATCCGTTGCTGGACATGAAAAAAGACAAAAAGGAAAAAAAAATAGCTATTGTGACTCCACAAGGACTGTTAGAAAAAAATGTTTGCTACACAATTGCTTGTGAAAGTAAGAAATGGTAAGCAACCCAAAGGTTTATCAATAAGGCAATGCTTATGCATACTGAAATATACTGAGTCTATACTGAAATATTATACATTCATTAAAAAGAATAATGTAGATCTGTATGTACTGATATGGAACGATGTCCAACTTTTATGAAGAGGAAAAAACTGTAAAATCATGTGTAATATTCTATTTTCCTGAAAATGTTTATAGCTTCAATAAAGGAAATGATGTATCAGAAGAAATTCTAGTTCTTACATGAATTTAAGGATTTATTGAAAATATTTGCATGTACAGAATTTTCAAAGTTGAGAAATCAATCTGAATTAACAAAAATCTAAATTATAGATGTAAAGGCAGTATAGATTTATGTTTTTAAACTTATAAAAAGTTTCACTAAATTTCTAGGCAGGAGTAAATATATAATTTCAATAGCTAATCAACTGTTCTATTCTAAATAGATAATCACTTATTTTTGAAATGTCCTTTTCAATCATTATAAGTGTATTTTTTATTCGTGGGTAATTTTTTTCTTTTTTTGCTGACTCTTTATTGAGAGTGTAAATGCACATTAAATATTCAGATGATTAAAAATGCAATTGTAGATTCCACATTGATGAGGCTTTTACTATAGTTGTTCACTGGAATTTTACTAAATCCTGTGCTGTGGAGGAAATTATTTCGCAATGAACCCAAGGATGTTTGGCCATTATTCAGATGTCCTCTTCCTCATTTGTACTTCAGCATTTTATGTGCTCGAACATAATATAATTAGGAATCTACTGAGCATAGCAAAATATTGTAAGTTCACCCTTTGAGCTTTCTATGCCCTTTAGTTTTATCTTTTGTGAAATTATGAATCATAACATATATCACAATAAGCAGCATATCTAAGTCCATCTCATAGGCTCTTCTTTTAAGTGGTCCACTTTCTGGAAATGATGTCTGTGTGCCTGCTGTTTGAGTCATTCTGTGTTGCTAAAGTGATGCCATATATTCTGGCCTATAATGATGCAAAAATATGAATGTAGGCACAAGTGGCTGTTGGAGGCATTGCTAGAGTGAACCTGGTTTGATGGCTGCAGTGTACCTGAGGCTGAATTGAATCCCTGTAATTGTACATCCATTCACTAGATATGCAGCAAGAACCAAGTGCATGCCAGGCACTTTGCTGGTGCTTAAAATTTTCATTTCATCTCTCCCCAGCAGGGTCAGTCACCTTCATTTTACAGTCAAGAAAATTAAGCGTAAGAGGAGTTAGGATGCCACAGTCACACAGCTAGTAAAGTAGTAGAAGCAGGTCTGAGGGATTCTGAATCTGAAGGGATTCTCTTTATGTTCACTATCCCTCTTTAATTTTGTGGAACAAAGATGTTGTTATGTATATGACACTGATTATGGGAGAACTATGTGTTTCTTTAATTTTTGGATTGAATTTCTGAATACTTAAAAATATATTGATGTAAATCAGTGATAGACGTTTTACAGGTAAAATGATCTAATCTCTATGTACATTTTTCACTTAAATAAAACTGACTTGTGTAATTGTGATGTGGTTTTTATTTTTGTAGGAAGTGACCAAGTTTATTCCTGGACACTAGTTACAAGCCAAGCCTTAGATACTGTTTGGAGAATAGCAAAGGGCTCTGCAAAGTTGGCAGTTTCATTTCTGGTGACTGCCCTCTGCTACTTCAGGAGGCTGCATATTTATTTAGGGCACCAGCTAAAATGGTAAGTCATTGTATCATCTTTAAATTTCAAAAATACCCTTTAAATATAAAGTAGAATTTTGATGTTATTGTTCCCTTTATCTTTCAGGTGGATTGGATATCTACAGAGAAAATTCAAAAGTAAATATTTTCATGCATATTTTTAAGGTGCAGAGAGGGCTCAAGAAGGGAGGGGAATGGAAAAATTAACTGCCTTTTATTTTTGGTTTGCTCCAGGGAACCTCAGCGTGGAGGCAGAAGTTGATTTACTCAGTTACTGTGCAAGAGAATGGAAAGGAGAGACAGCCCGTGCAAAGCTGATGAGGAAGGTGTGTCTGTGTATAGACATTAAGGAAGAGGTAGAACTTACCAAAGTCAGAAAACAAACATTCCGTTCTGCTTTACTAAATCCAGAGATCAACCAATACCAGATGTGATGCAAGTAACAATTCAGGCTCTAATTTAAAAGCCAAACATCTGCTAGCCATTGGCTTTGGGCATTTTACCTAGAGCTGGTGCCTTCGAGGACTTTAAGTAAATTAGGTCTGTAATTTCAGGAAACTTGAGCACTGTGCTCTTTTTGGCTCTTTACTGACCAAGCTTACTAAACATCTGCGTGTGCAGTAGAGACTCTGTCCTTGAAGGTATCAGGCACCCTGACATAAAATATTTTGAGGATATTTAGAATTTTCCATTGGACCAGTCTTGGTAAATATTCCTAGCAGAGCTGCCCAAACCAGAAAAAAAAAAAAAAGGTGGGGGTTATATTTAAAGTACTCCTTAGCACGGTCTTAAAAGTATACAGTATTTTTCACTGTGGTTAGGTTGCATCCATAATCTACCCAAAATGACCTGCCCTGGCCCTGGGCTTCCAGGATTTATTACCCAAAAAGGATGTCACAGACTCTGTACACACACAAGTCACTTTAAAATTACATGCAGTCATATTCATAATTAATCATTGTTTCTGTTATACATGTTAGTTGGGAGGAACACCTCATGAAAATACAGTGAATTCACTTTCTTTTCTTCCTTTTCCAATGGATTTAATAGACAACTTTGTCTTGTGCTAACAGGCTTATGAAGAGCTGTTTTGGCGGCATCATATTAAATGTGTTCGACAAGTAAAGAGAGATAACTACGATGCTCTGAGATCGGTGTTATTTCAAATATTCAGCCAGGGCCTCTCTTTTCCATCCTGGATGAAAGAAAAAGACATTGTTAAGGTATGTCTTCACGCTGGAAACACGGAAATGTCATGTTGATGATAACTGCGACCCAGAAGCTCCTGGTCTTCTCTGGGCAACTTTGTACCCAGGGGATCATGAGATTGAAGGAACTTTGAGAGTTCATTTAGCCCATCCTCTATGTCTCACATCAGTTTGCTGATAAATCATTTCAGAAAGACAGTCATACTCAGTTTTGTTTTTAATGCCACCATCTTTTCTTGAGGGGCATTTGTCCTTTGTCAGTAACGTGGTCTAGTAAAATACTTTTTTACTTTACAGTTATATGTGCTTTAACAAATGCATACAGTATGAACACTACCCCAAAGATTCTCTTCTATATCTTCATAGTCAGTCATTCTCCCATCCTCAGTCCCTGGCAACCACTTATCTGTTTTCTGTCCCTGTAGTTTGCCTTTTCTGGAATGGTATATAAATGGAATCATCCAGTATGTTGACTTTTAAATCTGGCTTCTTTCACTTAGGCTAATGCATTTGCAATTCATCTGTGTTGTTCTGTGAATTTGTAGTTCATCCCTTTTTATTGTTGAGTGGTGTTCTTTTACGTGAATGTAACACAGTTGTTTATCCATTCATAGTTGGAGGCCATCTGGATTGTTTCCAGTTTTTGGCAACTATGAATAAGGTGTTATAATCTCATACAGGATTTTATATGAACATTAGTTTTCATTTCTTTCATGTAAATACCTAAGAGTAAGTTTGCCTGGTTGTATGGTATGGTAGGTGTATGTTTAACTTTATCAGAAACTGCAAAAAACTTTTCCACAGTGGCTTGGCCATTTTGCATCCCCACCAGTGATGTATAAGAGTTCTAGATGCTCCACATTCTCACCAGCACTTGGTGGTGTTGGGTTCTGTTTTTAGTGATTCTAATAGATGTGATTGGTATCACTGTGCTTTTAGTTTGTATCCCCCTATTGAGTAATGATGTTGAGCATCTTTTCATCCATAATCTTTATCCAATATTTGCCATCCATATTATCTTGTTGGAGAAGTGTCTGTTCAAATCTTTTATCCTTTTTTTTAAAAAAATTAGGTTGTTTTCTTATTATTGAGTTTTGAGAGTTCTTTAGATATTCTGTATACAAGTACTTTATCAGATGTGATTTGCAGATATTTTCTCCCAGTCAGTGGCTTTTTTTCTCATTTTTTTAACAGTGTAAGGCAGGACATTCTTGATGAATAACCTGAATTTTTATTTTGAATGAAGTATGCCTAATCTAGGATGTACATTTAAGGATCGAGGAGCAAAGAAGTATAAAATGTATGTATAGATAGGCACATGTGTTCTACTTCCTTAACATCTCTTACACTTGTTTTTATTAGTTACATTTATCTAGAAAATACTTGTCAAGTATACAGTGTGCTAGCCCTGTTGCTAGTTGGTGAGGACAAAGAATACAACAGAGACCCTGGGCTCAACAAGCTGAGTTGGGTGGGAAAATGTATTGGATACTTATGATGTGTTAGATTCTTACAGACACCATAATCTTATTTAATCCTAACAAGAGCCCTGTAAAGTAGACAGTATTATTGGTAGTTTACAGTGGAGGACAAGGCTAAGAGGTGAAATAACCCATGCTGGTTAAGTAATCTCTCAGCTGGTAAGTGACATCTAGGTTGGCACCGCAGAGTGCACTATTCTAAAATGCACCTGTTCCCTGATGTACTACACTGCTCCAACATCATTTGGTTAAAAATAATTTCTAAAAGGCTACATGTAGGAAGTTTGGTAAGTATTTTATCCAAAAAGATTGTTTCTATGGACATAATCCTATATTTAGGTTTTCATCACTTGTGAAATTCTGGAGTAAGAATATGATCTAAAAATCATGTAGTTCACAAATTAAAAAAAATGACTACATACTTTTTACTTAACTGTTATTATAGTTTTTTTTAATGAGGTAAGACTATGTGCTGTGACACATTCTAAATTGTGTGTAATGAGCATAGAGATACTAATCATTGTCTGCATCTACTTCCTTTTCAAGCTTCCTGAAAAACTGCTATTTTCACAAGGTTGTAATTGGATCCAGCAATACAGTTTTGGTCCTGAGAAGTATACAGGTTCAAACGTGTTTGGAAAATTACGTAAATGTGTGGAATTATTGAAAACACAGGTGAGGGTTAAAGGGAAAAAAACCAAAGACTAGAACTAAAAGCATACATCCCAATTGCAGCCAGTTTTCTCCGTGTCAGGCATATCACTTTATGTTAGGAAAATGCAAGTGGAATTGCTTCTCCCAGTAACTGATGACTTCTTTTCCTTGTTCTCCTTTCTCCTTGCAAGTAATGAATGAGAGCAATGTTGTTCTACATAATAATTAGCCCCATTATAGGGTAAAGAGGCCTCTCTGGGCTGCCTGGAAACCTTACCAATCATGTACCTTTGTTTCCCCAGGAAAATGTGGTGCAAGTCCCAGACAAAGTGCTCAGAAATACCCTTCTGGAATGCACCCTATTAATAACTTGGGCATGGCAGAGATGTAATAATTTGAGTTAGAGTTCTTCCTGCCTTTTAATAATGAATGACATGGATTTTGGATGATTGGAATGAATGTTGAGCCCACCACTTACTTGCTGGGTTACCTTCAGAGATAGTTTAACCTTTCTGAGCCATAGTTTTCTCATCTGTAAAAGAGAAATATGAATAGTATATATTCATATACTGTTGGTTATTGTGAGGATTCAGTGAGTTAATACATGTAGAGTGCTTTAAACTGTGCCTGGCACACAGTGAGTGTTAAAGAATGCTAGCACTATTCTTCGCTGGAATATCCTTTGTATAACCCAACTGTCCTAAGCAATTTTAGAAAACCGATTTGCTGAGGACTTTACGTAGCAGGTGGTGCTGTTTTGAAAAAAAATGTTTTATTTAAACTAGTTTGTTACTGTAAAAGTAAAAAATATATATCTTAGTCACCTTGGGCTGCTGCAACAAAATACTGTAAACTGGGTGGCTTAAACAATAGATATTTATTTTGCATAGTTCTGGAGGTTGGAAGTCTGAGATCAGGGTGCCAACAGGGTGGTGTTGTTGGTGAGGGCCCTCTTTCTAGTTTACAAACAGCCATCTTCTTGCTGTATCCTCACATGGTGGGAAGAGAACTAGCTAGCTCCCTGGCCTTTCCTTATAAGTAGTATTAAAATTATGCCATGATAAATGTATTCACTTTTATCCTTCTAAATTTTACTTTTACATCTGTGTTTTTAGTGGACTGAATTTAGTGGAATTAAAGATTATCACAAGAGAGGAAGTATGTGCAACATCCTTTTTTCTGATGCCATTTTGGAATACAAACTTTATGAAGCTCTAAAGTTCATCATGCTATATCAAGTCACTGAAGCGTATGAACAAATGAAGACTAACAAGGTCATTCCCAGTCTTTTTAGACTCCTGTTTTCCAGGGAGACATCAGCTGATCCTTTGAGCTTCATGATGAATCACCTGAATTCTGTAGGCGACACATGTGGACTAGAGCAGGTAAATGGGGTGGAAAAATGGAGTGTGTTTGATTAAGGATGATATGGACAATACTTGAACACAGGCGTTTGCGTTTACTTTCAGCAGTGGTAAAACCAACTGCGCAGGAGTGGCTGGTTGCTATTACTGCCCCACAAATGAGGAAAAAAATAGTAATAAACCTCACTGCTCTGTGCTGGTTGCTTTGTCTCTCCAGACCCATGTCAGAGAGTACCAGCTCTGGGAGTCTTTGTGACCTCGCACGCTGCTTCTCAGATAGTAATAGGTTCTTCCACACAGTTTAACCAGAAAAAGTCCCATTGGAAAGTGAGATAACTTTGGGAAAGCATTTGGTTACCTATTGCAGATATAGAAATTACTGAAATCTCTTAAACCCAGAAAGTGCTCTTATCCCCATAGAAAAGGGTTTCTTTTTTGTTTAGTTTTGCTTTCCTAGAGCTGAACAAAATTATCTGACAGTTTTACACAAATTGATTTAAAATGGTGTAAAACTGGTTGGAAAACAATGTAATTTTTATTGCAAGCATTCCTTTCTTTTTCATTAATTTTTTTTTTCCAAACAGCTTTTCCCTATGATTTCTTAGCACTAGTTTAGAGAGATGTTCCTACGCTTGTCTCCTTCCTTCCACACAATGGACATTTGTTCCTAATTCTGTGCCCACTCAGTGGTTTATGGGCGGGTCTGTAAACAAGTAGATTATTTCACAAGCTGCAGAAGACTACATCCCCCACTGTGGTGGGAGGCAGGAATTTGCAAATGTGTGTTTGTGATGTCCCTTTCATCTCGTTCATAGATTGATATGTTTATACTTGGATACTCCCTTGAAGTGAAGATAAAAGTGTTCAGACTGTTCAAGTTTAACTCCAGAGACTTTGAAGTCTGCTACCCAGAAGATCCTCTCAGGGAGTGGCCGGAAATCTCCCTGCTGACGGAGAACGACTGCCACTACCACATTCCCGTATGTTAAGTCTGCCACGGGCCAGGCACTGGCTCTTGCTAATGACAGTAGTCACACTTGCAAGTAAAGTGTTTCTCAAAAACCAAAGCTAGCATTTCAGCCATGGAAGGAACTAGGACTTTTCCTCTGGATTACAGGTACGCCAGATGGAGCAGTGCACAGATGATTTGCCTTTATTTTCAGTGATTTCCTCTGAGGCAGCTGCACTCATATATTTGGGGTTTGGTGGTTTGATCCTGTTCCTAAGGGGTCTGGTCACTTCACATGATGGCAGGCTTTTAAAGAGCACAAGGACGTTTAATATGGACAATAACAGGAGCAAAGCAAGAAGAAAACAAGTAGGGGACAATGGCAAATCTGGAAAGAAAGACTTTTTTTACTCTAACCTTTATATTCTTCATTAAAAATCTCATCTTGAGCTGATTTTGGATCATTGTAAATATGGTCTTATTTTAAAGCATTCCCTTCCCAGGAATCTTTGTTGTATATAATTTTCTAGAACCACTTGATTAATTTTAAAATTATGTGTATGTGTATATATATACATATATATGTTTACATATACACACATGTATACATGTATATACACACATAGACATACAAATAACCACTACTTTGTAATGTTGTACAGTTTATGTATCTTTACATTTTTTTTTACTGTCGTATCTGGCCAGTTTAATAGGTTTTATTTGGATAAAAAAGATAAATTCTGTAGATTAAGGCAACTGAATGACAATTATTGAACTGTCACAAAAATACTAAACTGTGGTATATTTGATGTATACTTACATTTGTATTTAATGTGTGGAATCTCAGTGTGGTAGACAGAATAATGCCCTCCTTCCCAACAATGTCTATGCCCTAAATCCCAGAACCTATAAATATATTGGGTTAAATGGCAAAGGAGAATTAAGGTTGCTGGTGGAACTAATGTACTAATCCACTGACGTTGAAATAGAAAAATTATTCCAGATTATGCAGGTAGGCCCAATGTAATCAGAAGTGTCCTTAAAAGGGGAAGAGGGACTTAGACGAATGGCAGAGTCAGAGGGAAATGTGAAATACTGAACAGTCAGAGAGAGATGAACCATTGTTGGCTTTGAAGATGGAGGAAGGGGCCATGAGCCAAGGAGTGTTGGTGGCCGCAGAAGCTGGAAAAAGCAAGGAAACAGAACCTCCCTTAGAGCCTCCAGAATGAACACAGCCCTGCCAACACCTTGATTTTAGCCCAGTGAAACCTATGTCAGACCTCTTATTGCAGAACTGTAAGGTAATAGATTTATGTGTAAGCCGCCAAATTTGTGGTAATGTGTTACAGCAGCAACCGAAAGCCAGTATTTCAGGCTAACTAATGTTTTTAGCTTTATTTTGGAAGTACTTTTCTAGCTTATTTTGGTAATCTTTATTTTGGAAGTACTTTGCTAGTCTGTTTTGTATTTCAATAAAAATAAAATAATTTTTAAAATCTTGCTATTGACATACCGGTTCAAAGTCAAATCCCTTTCTAAGAGTGACTTACTTAACAAGATGTTATGTGCTAACATTTTCCCACATGTTCATATTGTTTCTACAGTAAATAAAAAAGAGGTATGCTAAATGCTGTGGTGTATGAAATTAACATTCACATTCTTCTGCAATGAGGATGATCAGTTGTCTGTACTACAGAAGCCATACATTCAGCAGTGGGTTGTGCTCACTGTCATTTTATTTTCTGATTGAAGATTAATGAGCCCAGATCAAGAGGCTTTGCATTACCTTGATAGCCACACAAAACAAGAGTTCTTAATTGACCTCCACAGTCCCCTTCTGCTTGGAAAGTCTATGGTTTCGTTTAACCCCTGTCATTTAATTGTTAGAAGTCATCCCCTTGATATATTACTGTGACCAAGAAAGCATGAAGTCTATGCTTTCTGTTCACAAGTAGACATAGTGACAGCCTGCCGTAGGCTGCTGTGGCTGACATTTATAGAATTGCTGCTCTGAACTTTTGCCTCCAATTGAGTTGTCCAAGTATCTGGCATTTATGTATTACCACTCACCTTGAATGTCCTTACTCAATGTAATTATTTCCACATCAATCCAGGACTGAAAGGAAAAAATTTGTCACCAGAATTGGCAGTTTATAGCTCTGTGGCATCAATCAACCCATTATGCTTATCCTAACTGTGTGTTAGGGGTGCAGGGTGGGGTGGGGCAGGAATTCTTTAAATAGAGAGTCAAGACCAATTGTGACAAAAGGACATCCTGATATAGTGAAAGTACAAAGTAAGGAGACATTTAAATAGTTGCTATGTTTTGGGAAGGCATTAAAACATGATTTTTAGAGAGGAAGTATTGGGTGTTTTTTGTTTTGTTTTTTGTTTTTATTCACTTGTATAATGAATATAACAAACTAAGTAGCCAGATGGAGCTGCATATAAATTAGCACCACTTTTAAATGCCAGTAGTAAATTGGATGTGAGTATCCTGTGTGATGCCAACATTTAAATGTCTTTCTAACCTTATACATTTTAAATGATGAGAGAACTATAGCAAAAATGAAAACATAATGCCCTTGTTCTTTTCTGATTTTAGAATTAAGTTTCTCTCAAGTTTTGGCCATATGTGTTCATACTGAGAGGTTAAATGAATATTAATACAAGACTATTATTTTTATTATGGTAAAATATGCGTAATATAAAATTTACCATTTTAACCACTTTTAAGTGTACAGTTCAGTGGCATTAAGTTCATTCACATTGTTGTGCAAACATTACCACCATCTATCCTCAGAACTTTTTTAACCTCCAAGGCTTACCTTTTCCATAGGAGGCATGTTTAATTCCCCACCTGGTACCTGGATTGCTTTTACTCTTCACACTATCTTTTTAATCACACCCTTCTAATATGAGTATTTCCTCTGTGCCTAAATCCTCCTCAGTGGAGAAGTCCAATGTAAGGGAGGTTTAGGTGACCAAATGTATCTGGAAAATCATGTTTACTTTACCTCTAAGGTAAAGCAATAACTATAGGTGACTTCTGAGTTCAATTTAGGAACACTATCATTTGAAAGGTGCCCAAGAAACTTTAGTTCAGGGCCAGCCTGGGGACTTGAATTTCTTGGATGTGGGTCTTCATGGTCTTGAAACAAAACCGATGGTGAGTCATTTGAAAGCCCTAGGGCCTTCCATAGGGTACTGGAGAGCCCAGACTGAGCTGGTGTAGGATGGGCCCAGCCTCTAGGAGAGAAGAGCAGTCCAGATCAAGGGGCATTTATGTTAAATTTCCCAGGACTTTCATGCAAATGGATTTTGGATGGAATTGTTTGTTATTGTTCTCAGATGATTTTCTCCTATTTTAGTGGGATCAAAGAAATACAATTTTAATTCTGTCCAAGCTGGTCTTGGGGAGGAGAAAAGTCTAACTTTTCTGAATACTTGAAAAATGTTGGTAATTTCACATTAAAGAAGGTAAAATTTTTAAAAATTGGTAACAAATACAATATGTGAAAATCTATACAAATATGAATACAGGCATGACTAATTCTGGAATTAGCAACAACTTTCTCTTAAATAGCAAGTTTCTAAAGCTGTATGATTCTGTTTACAAGAATATATTCCTCACTGCTTAACAAGACTAATTACTGTGTGAAATAAACAATATATATATGTATTTTCATGGATCTAAAATCTTAATTGTCTCTAGGGTTGCTTGTCATAGTTGAATATTGTTTAATTACCTTATAAATATTATTGATTATATTTATGTATACTTTTCTCTGTAGCCATTCACTTTTTAAAAATTTTATCTTATTATAATTGACAATATAGCCATTGATTTTCCTTCAAATCCTATTTTTATTACAATGTCTATTTTACAGCTAGATGCAAAATTAAATGAGTCCAAATTATACAATCACTTCTATGTCATTTGCTCAAAATACTTGGGTCTTCCCTTAATTCCCTTTTGTTTTAATCCTATCATACTCCTTTAGGGCAAGAAAATGATTATGTTTAATATCAACATGGTTTATAACTGAATGGAAAAAACACTCACATATTCAGCCACCCCTGGACCAAAGTGCTCTGTAGAAGTGTATCCTTGTCTCTACACTTGAAGCTCATGAGGAGACTCGGGCTCTGTGTGGAAAGAGCAAGGCTTGAGAGCCATCGTGGATGAGTGCTGGATGCATGGATACACGTGGAGTAGCAACGTCATATTCCTAGCTGGTGTCTCTGAGAAATACCATTCTCCATTTAAAACAAACAAATTTCTGTATTTGATTGATCTACTGGTGCTTATAGTCAATATCATCATGTTTTAGTCCATTTTGTGTTGCTATAACAGAACTACCTGAGACTGGGTAATTTATAAAGAAAAGAGGTTTATTTGGCTTACAATTCTGGGACAGTTGCATCTGGCAAGGGCCTCAGGCTGCTTCTACTCATGGCAGAAAGTGGCAGGCAGCCGGCAGGCCTCTATTTAGATGTTCCATCTGAAGTTTTATAAATTAGGAACAAGAAAATATTCTTTGTGTACAAATAGACTATTTCAATGGGAAAAAAACATTTCTGTACTTCAGGAATGCTAATCAGAACATATTCCTGTTTTAAATAAACTATTTGAGCAGAAATGGGTTTTACAACCCATCTAGACTAAGATGAAAATACTTAAAACGAGCACTTTTTTACTTAAGTTCTCCTGAGTAAACTTCCCCCAAATTCTTACAAGTAAGTAAGTGACACTCATTGGAAGCAGTAAAATTAATGCCCCAGGGAGAGCATTAATCCATTCATGAGGGATCTGTCCCCATGACTCAATCAGTTTCCAACACTGCCACATTGGGGATCAAGTTTCCACATGAGTTTTGGAGGGGACAGCACATCCAAACTCCATCACATCAGGTCTTAGAAATCTGATCCCCAATGTGGCAGTGTTGAGAAAGTTTGGGTCATGGGGGTGGATCCCTCATGAATGGATTAATGCTCTCCCTGGGGCATTAATTTTACTGCTTCCAATGAGTGTCACTTACTTACTTGTAAGAATTTGGGGGAAGTTTACTCAGGAGAACTTAAGTAAAAAAGTGCTCGTTTTAAGTATTTTCATCTTAGTCTAGATGGGTTGTAAAACCCATTTCTGCTCAAATAGTTTATTTAAAACAGGAATATGTTCTGATTAGCATTCCTGAAGTACAGAAATGTTTTTTTCCCATTGAAATAGTCTATTTGTACACAAAGAATATTTTCTTGTTCCTAATTTATAAAACTTCAGATGGAACATCTAAATAGAGGGAGATAGTTAAAACTAAGTGTCAGCATAGCATCTTGTGTCACTCAGCCAAGGGTTTGAAAAGATGGAATGAGGTACAAGTGAGTGACACTAGGATGCTTTATGGACATGAAAGACTTTACTGCATTATGCCTTATCACACATCAACAAACTTATTAGGACAAATGCAAAAGCCAAACACTCTCCTGGCCCCAGTTTTTCTCATCACTGCCAACCTGAAAGACAAAATCTGGGAAACAACTTGGGAATTACTTCAAGTAGGTATCAAGTCTCGGCTTGTCCACTGCTCAGCATGTATGTGGACTTCCTTTGGGTGCTGGCTTTTCTGTAGGACTGAGAGCTTCATGAAAAGGACTGCAGGGCAAGGTGAGGACAAGAAGCTGGTACAAACTAATTTACAACCAGGGCTAAGACCAGAAAAGCTGCTTGAATGTTCTGGAAGTTTTGGTATGATGTGATTCCAAGTAGACACATTTATGACTTCCTTAAATAAAGGAGCAGAGATGAGGAGAC